AACAAAATATATCATGTTGATTCATAATATCAGGTCATTTTATTGTAAAAATATTTGTTGAATAAATAACAGTAAATTTCACAGTAGCTTCCTGATGATCCCTAACACCGGTGTCTTTAGATGAATCCCTGGAAGGTCCTGAAAAGAAAATTACAAAATTGATACAATTTAAAACAAAACTGTCGGAAATATGTGTTGCAACAGGGAAGGTATTGATTAAGTTATCATCATTTGGGTAATTAAGGTCAATCTGTGGTGGATTTATATACGTGAATATCATAAGTCTAACCTGTGTAGTCCAAGCCGTGGTTTAATAATCATGGGAATCATGGATTTATATGTACGTGAATGTCATAAGTCTAACCTGTGTAGTCAAAGTCCTGGTTTAATAATCATGGGAATCATGGATTTATATGTGCGTGAATGTCATAAGTCTAACATGTGTAGTCCAAGTCCTGGTTTAATAATGATGGGAATCATGGATTTATATATACGTGAATGTCATAAGTCTAACATGTGTAGTCCAAGTCCTGGTTTAATAATGATGGGAATCATGGATTTATATATACAGGAATGTCATAAGTCTAACCTGTGTAGTCCAAGTCCTGGTTTAATAATGATGGGAATCATGGATTTATATATATGTGAATGTCATAAGTCTAACCTCTGTAGTCCAAGCCGTGGTTTAATAATGATGGGAATCATGGATTTATATATTCGTGAATGTCATAAGTCTAACCTGTATAGTCCAAGCTGTGGTTTAATAATGATGAGAATCATGGATTTATATATACGTGAATGTCATAAGTCTAACCTGTGTAGTCCAGGCCGCGTGGTTTAATAGTGACGGGAATCATGGATTTATATATACGTGAATGTCATAAGTCTAACCTGTGTAGTCCAAGCCGTGGTTTAATAATGATGGGAATCATGGATTTATATATACATGAATGTCATAAGTCTAACCTGTGTAGTCCAAGCTGTGGTTTAATAATGATGGGAATCATGGATTTATATACGTGAATGTCATAAGTTTAACCTGTGTAGTCCAAGCCGTGGTTTAATAATGATGGGAATCATGGATTTATATATACGTGAATGTCATAAGTCTAACCTGTGTAGTCCAAGCCGTGGTTTAATAATGATGGGAATCATGGATTTATATATACGTGAATGTCATAAGTCTAACCTGTGTAGTCCAAGCCGTGGTTTAATAATGATGGGAATCATGGATTTATATATACGTGAATGTCATAAGTCTAACCTGTGTAGTCCAAGCTGTGGTTTAATAATGATGGGAATTATGGATTTATATATACATGAATGTTATAAGTCTAACCTGTGTAGTCCAAGCCGTGGTTTAATAATGATGGGAATCATCGATTTATATACGTGAATGTCATAAGTCTAACCTGTATAGTCCAAGCTGTGGTTTAATAATGATGGGAATCATGGATTTATATATTCGTGAATGTCATAAGTCTAACCTGTGTAGTCCAAGCCGTGGTTTAATAATGATGGGAATCATGGATTTATATATACGTGAATGTCATAAGTCTAACCTGTGTAGTCCAAGCCGTGGTTTAATAATGATGGGAAGCATGGATTTATATATACGTGAATGTCATAAGTCTAACCTGTGTAGTCCAAGCTGTGGTTTAATAATGATGGGAATCATGGATTTATATATACATGAATGTTATAAGTCTAACCTGTGTAGTCCAAGTCCTGGTTTAATAATGATGGGAATCATGGATTTATATATACGTGAATGTCATAAGTCTAACCTGTGTAGTCCAAGCTGTGGTTTAATAATGATGGGAATCATGGATTTATATATATGTGAATGTCATAAGTCTAACCTGTGTAGTCCAAGCTGTGGTTTAATAATGATGGGAATCATGGATTTATATGTACGTTAATGTCATAAGTCTAACCTGTGTAGTCCAAGCTGTGGTTTAATAATGATGGGAATCATGGATTTATATACGTGAATGTCATAAGTCTAACCGGTATAGTCCAAGTAGTGGTTTAATAATGATGGGAATCATGATGTCCATGATGGCCATAGCTGGTGGAGTGGTTGGCAACATGTCCATATGACTGGTGTCCATGAGCATGGTGGGCATCATGGTGTCCATAGCTGTTGGCATGGTGTCCGTGAGCATGGTGTCCATGAGCAAGGTGGCCGTGAGCATGGTGGCCGTGAGCATGGTGTCCGTGAGCATGGTGTCCGTGAGCACAGTGTCCATGAGCGTGGTGTCCATGAGTGTAGGAATCTATCTTGCCATCACGGTTGGCATCAAGAGCATCTCGGACTCCATCACGGTTCTCATCACCATATCCTGAAATTAGAAAACAGTACATCCTGCCATTTCATTGAATTATATTTTAGTATTTCTTTGCAGTAGTAATTGCAACAATTGCAAATTCAAGTATTTTTGATCATTTGGAATTCGGCATAAATGCTAAATTGTCATCACTTATTTATTTTCCAAATTATTTGAATTGAATCGCTTTGACTATGGTGGTTGCCATGATGACCATAGTGGTTGCCATGATGACCATGGTGGTAGCTTGGAGCTGCCATAGCTACGGCACACAAATCAAGGATGACAACAGCAATTCCGTTCATGATTCTTGATGTCTAAAACAATAGAAAATAGATATTACATTTTCAAGTAAAATCATAATGGACAATTTTTATACAAATTAGGTATATTTCCCCTATTTCACATTGATATTTGCATGACAATGCAACTATTCTGCATATGATAGATAACAATTTCAAAGGAGAATTCTTTCAGATTTTAGGATTTAATCGAAAATTTATATTAATATATTACTTATTTAAAATAATTTGATATCTGATCTTGATGGGAAAAGAAGAAGGAAAATGTTTATCTTCTATTTTGTCAATTCTGATACTCATAACATAAATATTTGGATAATTTTTATATTGACCTACTTTCTGAACCTTTTATGACCTTTGAAAGGTCATAGAAGATCAAGCAGTCAGATCTCATTTCAGATTTGGAATCCTGAACAAATTTTCAGTTAAATTGATACCACTCTCAATAGATTTGGAACACTTTGAAATTCACCCTTTTGTGGGGGTCAAAGTTCTCAAAATTTCATCAAGATTACTCGATTTGTCATCAAGATATAGAGAGATTGACCCAGATTTTGACCTTTGACATACATACTTTCTGAGCAAGTAGATCAGATACCCTAACTGATCATTGCTGAGAAAACATGTTCAGAAAAGAATAATAAGAATACAGGCAAAAGCAATAGATTTAAAATCTGGAGTCTAAATAAGTATGGTAGGGAAATACAGGGTGGTCAAAACAATGGAAACCCTTACACCATCTTCCTCATATATTTGTCATTTTAAGAAATAACTCCATGATATTTTGCACATTTGTACATCATTCAATTTCTTACCAGCCTACAGCTTTCATGACCATCAGATTGATAGTCACAATGTTACAGCACTTTACAGAACATGCCCTAGTGGCCACTATTGCACTGTCGGGCCACCTGCACTCGCTGTCCAAAATGTCCCTACCTGTAGGGATATGGCAAGGAGAAAGTGTATGAGAATGACCTCAGGACAATCACAAACCTCAAAAGTGAGATCATCCGTATCATTAAGGCCATACTTGCTGAGGAATGCATTTGGCCCATTGACAACTGTGCAGGTTTGCCTACAGCGTGATGATGGCCAAACTTGGAGCATGTTATTCAAAGTGCTGTAAAATTGTGACTATCAGTCTGATGGTAATGAAATTTGGTAGGATGGTAGGAAATTGAATGATGTACAAGTGTGTGAAATATCAGGGAGTAATTTTCAAAAAATGACCTATAATCCAATAAACGCACACCCTACTTTCCCATGAAAGAGTTACAAGTTACTAGGAAAAAGTAAAAAATTCTGAAAAAATAATTGGGCAATAATAGGGTTAATCCACTATCGTTGTCAATTCAAAATGGCAGCCTGCTTGAAGGATCGTTGAGTAAATATTTTCATTGATATTAACGCATATATGTTGATTAAACCACAAAAACATATTCAGCCAGTTGGTAAATGCATGAGGAAAATATTCAAGTTTTCTAGTCAGAGTAAGTCCAGTTTTAAAGAAGAAAATCATGAAATACCCTATTATTGCCCATATATTGTGAATTATTGGCGTATTTTGTAATTTGAGACATCTCGTCCAGGAGAGTTTAGGAGACACACAGTGCGTTTATTGGAAACAATATGGTGTGCATATTTTCTAAGGGGTAAATACTGTATCCAAAAGTGACTGTACAAAATAGACGAATCCCATATATTCTGAGGCTCGAGGAAGGATCCAGGACTGGGATGTATAAAAGGGTTATGTACTCGGAGGTTTTGGATATAGGGTATATCCTGAGTCATATATTTATTTCTCCCCGAGGGACCGAAGGGACCAAGGGGAGATATAAATATTTCCTGAGGGACATCTCATTTTTTATTTTATTTATGCTATTAATGTCTAACTTCAATGAGAACTCAAATAAGTGGTGATGTTTAGATTAGACCAGTTATTTCTGCAACTTTGATTGAGGATCAGACATTTTTGTAAGATATGTCTACTTGTTTAATTGAGAAATATTGTTCAAGAAAAAGTAAAGGACTGGTTATGATTTGGTGAACTAAATTCAACAACTAAAAATGGTCACCACTTCTTTGTAAAATGAAATTATACTTATTGAGAACTCTATTTCCAGTTGTTAGAATTGGCTAATATTTCACAAGTTTGTCCTGGATGTTTCTGCATGCATATGCATCTCAAGTTGCATAAAGAGATGCATAAAGAGATGAGTATCACCCATATGTCTAACACACTTTCAATTAACAAAATATATCATGTTGATTCATAATATCAGGTCATTTTATTGTAAAAATATTTGTTGAATAAATAACAGTAAATTTCACAGTAGCTTCCTGATGATCCCTAACACTGGTGTCTTTAGATGAATCCCTGGAAGGTCCTGAAAAGAAAATTACAAAATTGATACAAATTAAAACAAAACTGTTGGAAATATGTGTTGCAACAGGGAAGGTTTTGATTAAGTTATCATCATTTGGGTAATTAAGGTGAATCTGTGGTGGATTTATATACGTGAATGTCATGAGTCTAACCTGTGTAGTCCAAGCTGTGGTTTAATAATGATGGGAATCATGGATTTATATATACGTGAATGTCATAAGTCTAACCTGTGTAGTCCAAGTCCTGGTTGAATAATGATGGGAATCATGGATTTATATATACGTGAATGTCATAAGTCTAACCTGTGTAGTCCAAGTCCTGGTTTAATAATGATGGGAATCATGGATTTATATATATGTGAATGTCATAAATCTAACCTGTGTAGTCCAAGCCGTGGTTTAATAATGATGGGAATCATGGATTTATATATACGTGAATGTCATAAGTCTAACCTGTGTAGTCCAAGTCCTGATTTAATAATGATGGGAATCATGGATTTATATATATGTGAATGTCATAAATCTAACCTGTGTAGTCCAAGTCCTGGTTTAATAATGATGGGAATCATGGATTTATATGTACGTGAATGTCATAAATCTAACCTGTGTAGTCCAAGTCCTGGTTTAATAATGATGGGAATCATGGATTTATATATACGTGAATGTCATAAGTCTTACCTGTGTAGTCCAAGCCGTGGTTTAATAATGATGGGAATCATGGATTTATATATACGTGAATGTCATAAGTCTAACCTGTGTAGTCCAAGTCCTGGTTTAATAATGATGGGAATCATGGATTTATATATATGTGAATGTCATAAATCTAACCTGTGTAGTCCAAGCCGTGGTTTAATAATGATGGGAATCATGGATTTATATATACGTGAATGTCATAAGTCTAACCTGTGTAGTCCAAGTCCTGATTTAATAATGATGGGAATCATGGATTTATATATATGTGAATGTCATAAATCTAACCTGTGTAGTCCAAGTCCTGGTTTAATAATGATGGGAATCATGGATTTATATGTACGTGAATGTCATAAATCTAACCTGTGTAGTCCAAGTCCTGGTTTAATAATGATGGGAATCATGGATTTATATATACGTGAATGTCATAAGTCTTACCTGTGTAGTCCAAGCCGTGGTTTAATAATGATGGGAATCATGGATTTATATATACGTGAATGTCATAAGTCTAACCTGTATAGTCCAAGCTGTGGTTTAATAATGATGGGAATCATGGATTTATATATACGTGAATGTCATAAGTCTAACCTGTGTAGTCCAAGTCCTGGTTTAATAATGATGGGAATCATGGATTTATATATACGTGAATGTCATAAGTCTAACCTGTATAGTCCAAGCTGTGGTTTAATAATAATTGGAATCATGGATTTATATCTACGTGAATGTCATAAGTCTAACCTGTGTAGTCCAAGTCCTGGTTTAATAATGATGGGAATCATGGATTTATATGTACGTGAATGTCATAAATCTAACCTGTGTAGTCCAAGTCCTGGTTTAATAATGATGGGAATCATGGATTTATATATACGTGAATGTCATAAGTCTTACCTGTGTAGTCCAAGCCGTGGTTTAATAATGATGGGAATCATGGATTTATATATACGTGAATGTCATAAGTCTAACCTGTATAGTCCAAGCTGTGGTTTAATAATGATGGGAATCATGGATTTATATATACGTGAATGTCATAAGTCTAACCTGTATAGTCCAAGCTGTGGTTTAATAATGATGGGAATCATGGATTTATATATACATGTACGTGAATGTCATAAGTCTAACCTGTGTAGTCCAAGCTGTGGTTTAATAATGATGGGAATCATGGATTTATATATACGTGAATGTCATAAGTCTAACCTGTGTAGTCCAAGCCGTGGTTTAATAATGATGGGAATCATGGATTTATATATACGTGAATGTCATAAGTCTTACCTGTGTAGTCCAAGCCGTGGTTTAATAATGATGGGAATCATGGATTTATATATACGTGAATGTCATAAGTCTAACCTGTGTAGTCCAAGTCCTGGTTTAATAATGATGGGAATCATGGATTTATATATACGTGAATGTCATAAGTCTTACCTGTGTAGTCCAAGCCGTGGTTTAATAATGATGGGAATCATGGATTTATATATACGTGAATGTCATAAGTCTTACCTGTGTAGTCCAAGCCGTGGTTTAATAATGATGGGAATCATTGATTTATATATACGTGAATGTCATAAGTCTTACCTGTGTAGTCCAAGCCGTGGTTTAATAATGATGGGAATCATGGATTTATATATACGTGAATGTCATAAGTCTTACCTGTGTAGTCCAAGCCGTGGTTTAATAATGATGGGAATCATGGATTTATATGTACGTGAATGTCATATGTCTAACCTGTGTAGTCCAAGCCGTGGTTTAATAATGATGGGAATCATGGATTTATATATACGTGAATGTCATAAGTCTAACCTGTGTAGTCCAAGCTGTGGTTTAATAATGATGGGAATCATGGATTTATATATACGTGAATGTCATAAGTCTAACCTGTGTAGTCCAAGCAATGGTTTAATAATGATGGGAATCATGGATTTATATATACGTGAATGTCATAAGTCTTACCTGTGTAGTCCAAGTCCTGGTTTAATAATGATGGGAATCATGGATTTATATGTACGTGAATGTCATAAGTCTAACCTGTATAGTCCAAGTCCTGGTTTAATAATGATGGGAATCATGGATTTATATATACGTGAATGTCATAAGTCTAACCTGTGTAGTCCAAGCAATGGTTTAATAATGATGGGAATCATGGATTTATATATACGTGAATGTCATAAGTCTTACCTGTGTAGTCCAAGCTGTGGTTTAATAATGATGGGAATCATGGATTTATATATACAGGAATGTCATAAGTCTAACCTGTGTAGTCCAAGTCCTGGTTTAATAATGATGGGAATCATGGATTTATATATACGTGAATGTCATAAGTCTAACCTGTGTAGTCCAAGTCCTGGTTTAATAATGATGGGAATCATGGATTTATATATACGTGAATGTCATAAGTCTAACCTGTGTAGTCCAAGCTGTGGTTTAATAATGATGGGAATCATGGATTTATATATACGTGAATGTCATAAATCTAACCTGTGTAGTCCAAGCCGTGGTTTAATAATGATGGGAATCATGGATTTATATACGTGAATGTCATAAGTCTAACCTGTGTAGTCCAAGTCCTGGTTTAATAATGATGGGAATCATGGATTTATATACGTGAATGTCATAAGTCTAACCTGTGTAGTCCAAGTCCTGGTTTAATAATGATGGGAATCATGGATTTATATGTACGTGAATGTCATAAGTCTAACCTGTGTAGTCCAAGTCCTGGTTTAATAATGATGGGAATCATGGATTTATATATATGTGAATGTCATAAATCTAACCTGTGTAGTCCAAGCCGTGGTTTAATAATGATGGGAATCATGGATTTATATGTACGTGAAAGTCATAAATCTAACCTGTGTAGTCCAAGCCGTGGTTTAATAATGATGGGAATCATGGATTTATATATACGTGAATGTCATAAATCTAACCTGTGTAGTCCAAGCCGTGGTTTAATAATGATGGGAATCATGGATTTATATATACGTGAATGTCATAAGTCTAACCTGTGTAGTCCAAGTCCTGGTTTAATAATGATGTGAAGCATGGATTTATATATACGTGAATGTCATAAGTCTAACCTGTGTAGTCCAAGCCGTGGTTTAATAATGATGGGAATCATGGATTTATATATACGTGAATGACATAAGTCTAACCTGTGTAGTCCAAGCTGTGGTTTAATAATGATGGGAATCATGGATTTATATATACGTGAAAGTCATAAATCTAACCTGTATAGTCCAAGCCGTGGTTTAATAATCATGGGAATCATGGATTTATATATATACGTGAATGTCATAAGTCTAACCTGTGTAGTCCAAGCTGTGGTTTAATAATGATGGGAATCATGGATTTATATATACGTGAATGTCATAAGTCTAACCTGTGTAGTCTAAGTTATCATTTGGGTAATTAAGGTGAATCTGTGGTGGATTTATATACGTGAATGTCATAAGTCTAACCTGTGTAGTCCAAGTCCTGGTTTAATAATGATGGGAATCATGGATTTATATATACGTGAATGTCATAAGTCTAACCTGTGTAGTCCAAGCCGTGGTTTAATAATGATGGGAATCGTGATGTCCATGATGGCCATAGCTGGTGGAGTGGTGGGCAACATGTCCATATGACTGGTGTCCATGAGCATGGTGGGCATCATGGTGTCCATAGCTGTTGGCATGGTGTCCGTGAGCATGGTGTCCATGAGCAAGGTGACCATGAGCATGGTGTCCATGAGCTTGGTGTCCGTGAGCGTGATGTCCATGAGCACGGTGTCCATGAGCGTGGTGTCCATGAGCGTAGGAATCTATCTTGCCATCACGGTTGGCATCAAGAGCATCTGGGACTCCATCACGGTTCTCATCCCCATACCCTGAAATTAGAAAACAGTACATCCTGCCATTTCATTGAATTATATTTCAGTATTTCTTTGCAGTAGTAATTGCAACAATTGCAAATTCAAGTATTTTTGATCATTTGGAATTTGTCATGAATAGTAAATTGTCATCACTTATTTATTTTCCAAATTATTTAAAATTGAATCGCTTTGAGCTTTTTGTTCAACTTACCATATCCATGACCATGGTGGTTGCCATGATGACCATATTGGTTGCCATGATGACCATGATTGTAGCTTGGAGCTGCCATAGCTACGGCACACAAAGCAAGGATGACAACAGCAATTCCGTTCATGATTCTTGATGTCTAAAACAACAGAAAATAGATATTACATTTTTAAGTAAAATCATAATGGACAATTTTTATACAAATTAGGTATATTTCCCCTATTTCACATTGATATTTGAATGACAATGCAACTATTCTGCATATGATAAGTAACAGGTTTAAAAGAGAATTTTTTCAGATTTTAGGATATCGTCGAAAATTTATATTACATGTAATATATTACTTATTTAAAATAGTTAGTTATAAAAACATTTGTGTAGTTATATATTAAGCTTACCTAGAGTCAGTTGTGATGATTCAATGATTTACTGACTTCAGCATCAGCCTTATATACTATCTACTTGGCCCCTGGTCCCCCTCTGGCACTTTAAAGACCTCACCCTAATCCCCATTGGCTCATAGTACTACATCCTAAATAATTGTTTCAATATTAACACCAACAATATTGTTTTTCCCAAAGCAGTCTTACTGAAGGGTAACTTTAATTAATTCAGTGATGTAAGTTATGAGATTACTCAACAATGGCAGGTTGATATAAAACAGCAATAAACAATCATGTATTAATTCAATGGCCAAAGGCCTAGTTTATATTGTTTTATTATGTGTGTCTGTAGTCTCATTGTGATTGGGTTAGACATGAGGGGTGTGTTTAAATGTCAAAAACAATGTAGGATTTCTGGTGATAATATGATAATCTACTTATTTTCTTGCATTGAAAAAGAAATGGCCTCAGTGTGAAATATCATATTAGAGGTAGACCTGAAGCACCTATAGTTTTAGCCCCCCCCCCCCACTCCACCAAAAGCTGCCTACATGTATGATTAAATAAAAACAACATCATCAATAGATGTAAGAAGATTAAATCTGAAGTTATATAATACAGCAATTTAGAATTATCCTGTCTTGATAATAAATATATTAATTTATTGACTCAATTTTGTTCATTTTATTCATCATAATAATTTATACACGTGTATTGTTTGATATTTCCAGATTACTCCTCTATCGGTGTACGCCTTGTTCATCCCAAAACACGTCCTTTTTATTGAAGTCGACCAGCAGGGTAACATTGTAGACAGCTTTCACGATCCAGATGGTGCGGTTATATCTGCGTGTAGCGAGGCATTTGAGCATGATGGCAAATGACAGATTACATTGGCGTTATAGACATGGCAGATTTGAAATCAAATGAAACGTGAAATTGATCCATTTTAAAAATGCCAGTTCATGCTGAATTTATGTACAGTTTATTTAGATCTTGCCTATTTACAGGGTCCTATGGATCCTGATTGATTATCCCATCGAACAGATTGGGGGGATATAGAGAATGGCATCGTATGTATGTATGTCCCTACGTCTGTCTGTCTGTCAACAATTTTTGCTAAAAGTGTAAAAGTAGTGGAGCAATCTGATAAATGGATGTATTGAGAAAATGTTTGCCCTTTTTATTTGTGTTATCTTACATTTTGATGTATACACTGTTTAATGACAATTTTGCTAATAAGCAGTCATTTTAAAAATGGCGGCCATTTTACATTTTGCTGTAATGAGAAACATTTCATATATTAAATACTTATGACACTGTCTAATGACAATTTGGTGAATGTGTGGCCATTTCCAAATTGTTCACCCTGTACCTTGTTTATTTAATGCATATGTTTATAGTATTAATTTGATCATTTTACTCATAAATATGTATATTAGAAGACAATGAAATGATTTATGAAACTATGTATTTCCTTACAATTTTTATCCACCCTGAAAAATTGAAGACAAAATATGCGATATATTTTAGACATCTTTATTTTCTTGAAAGGGGTATGACTAGGATTACTCCAGAACTGACATTCTAAACATTCTGAAGTTACTTCTTGTATTAATTAATACGATTTATCAAATATTCTTTTCAAGAGCTATACAACAAGCTTTATAAAACAATAATTTTTATTGAACTTCAACTTCAAAATAAATGTTGCATCAAATGCACTTGTACATTGTATGTATTGTTTCTGTACAATATTCTTGCTGCTCCCTTATTAGTGATAATGGAATTTCTCAGATAAGCCTTAATTAAGCCGTTTCCTCCTGTTCATCCTCCAATTGTTTTGATGAGTTAAAATGATAAAACACATATTCCTGCATATGTTTTCATTTGTTGAGCACTTGTCAACATTACCATTTACTTATTATTGAGGGATTTAACATGGGTCCACAAAAAATGAAACATATTAGATTTTGATATTTTTGAAGTTTACAACAGATTATCTACTTATGAATCGGTTTTTGGGAAGGTTATTACTTATTAGCATGACATATTGATTTTATCTGTTTAATTGAAAGAAAGATCACCTGTCTGACTATATTTTGCATTTAAAATGATTAAAATTAATTGTTCCATTTAGTTCACTTTCTTTTAACATCATCTTGTTTTTGTTGATCGGCCAATTGTTTTGATATGTTTAAATGATAGAACATATATTCCTACATACGTTTTCACATGTTGAGCACTTGTCAACATTACCATTTACTTATTATTGAGGGGTTTGACAGGGGTCCACAAAAAATAAAAATATTAGATTTTGGTATTTTTGAAGTTTATAAAGGATTATCTACTCATGAATCGGTTTTTGAGAAGGTTATTAGCATGACCTATTGATTTTATCTGTTTAATTAAAAATAAGATCGTCTGTCTGATTATTTTGCATTCAAAATGATTAGAAATAATTGTTCCTTTTTGTTCACTTTCTTTTAACATCATCTTGTTTTTGTTGATCCGCCAATTGTTAAATGATATGTGCAAATGATAAAACATGTATTATCACATACATTTTCACCTGTTGAGGACTTTACCGCTTACTTATTATTGAGGGGTTTAACAGGGAGGGGTCAACAAGAATATTAGATTTTGATAGATTGAAGTTTACAACAGATTATCTAGTCACTAATCGGCTTTTGGAAAGTTTACTGGTATAACATATTGATTTTATCTAGATGTACATTAGATGTTCAAGAGACCAATAAACTTATTTATTAATTATTGAGGGGTTTAACAGCGGTTCACAAAAAATATAAAAAATATTAGATTTTGATAGTTTTGAAGTTTTTTTGGAAAGGTTATTATTAATATTAGTATGCCATATTGATTTTATCTGTTTAATTGAAACTAAGATAGTCTGTTTGACTATATTTTGGATTCAAAATGATAAAAAATTAACATCATCTCGTTTTTCGGTGATCCGTCAATTGTTAATGATATGTTTAAATGATAGAACATATATTCCTACATACGTTTTCACCCGTTGGGGACCTGTCTACATTACCGTTTACTTATCATTGAGGGGTTTAACAGAGGTCCATGAAAATGAAAAATATTAGATATTGACACTTTTGAAGTTAACAACGAATTTTCCACTTATGAATCGGCTTTTGGAAAGGTCATTAGCATGATATATTGATTATCCCATCGAACGAAGTTCGGAGGGATATAGGGAACGCCTCCGTCCGTCCGTCCGTCCGTCCGTCCGTACGTACGTCCGTACGTACGTCCGTCCGTCTGTCCGTCCGTCCGGGCAATAACTCAAATACCGTTGGCCTGATTTTGTTCATATTTTGTACACATATACCCTATGAGAGTAGAAGTTCTGCTCGAAAGCCGATTTTCAAAATGGCCGCTCATTTCAAAATGGCGGCCATTTTAGTGGCGATTTTACAGTAATTTAGGTGCAATATGTAAAACTGTAACAGCAATATGTTTTAAATGTAAAAAAATTATGAAGGACATTAATAATGCTACAAATGTAGATATTAAAAAAGCACATGGCAGCCATCTTGAAAAATGGCGGCCTTTACTCGTCATTTTACGATTTTTGCTGTAACTCAAAAAATAGTGGAGCGATTTTGTTCATATTTGGTGTGTGAATACTATAAGCATTGCACACTGTCTAAAGACACTTTTGGTAGAAGGCGGCCATTTTTCAAGATGGCCGCCATTTTAACGTATTTTACTATAACTCGAAAAGTAGTGGAGCGATTTTGTTCATATTTGGTATGTGAATACTATAAGCATGGCACACTGTCCTATGACACTTTTGGTAGAAGGCAGCCATTTTGAAAACAATTTTGAAAAATGGCCGCCATTTTAACGTATTTTACTATAACTTGAAAAGTAGTGAGCGATTTTGTTCATATTTGAAAAATGGCCGCCATTTTAACGTATTTTACTATAACTTGAAAAGTAGTGAGCGATTTTGTTCATATTTGACAAATGGCCGCCATTTTAACGTATTTTACCATATCTCGAAAAGTAGTGGAGCGATTTTGTTCATATTTGATATGTGAATACTTTAAGCATGGCACATTGTCTAATAAAACTTGGGGAGTTTTGAAAATGGTGGCCTTTCTGGTGTGTTGTTTTATGATATTTGCGCTTCGTTTGTAAAAATGCCAGCCATTTCTGTTCGATGGGATTCGCTACGCTTTGGCGTTGCCGTTGTTCTGGTTTTATCTGTTTAATTGAAAATAATATCTTCTGTCTGACTATATTTTGCATTCAACCTGATTAAAAATAATGGTTCCATTTAGTTCACTTTCTTTGAACACATTCTTGTTTTCGTTGATCTGCAAATTGTTTCTGCCTATATTCCTACATACGTTTTCACCTGTTGAACACTGAAACTGAGCACTGTTTACATTTTAAAACCTTTACGGAAAAAGCATTTGATCACATATAATATTGCATTAAATCATAATCTAAGATGAGTTAGGAATTTATTCCCACAATTTATAAAAATGGATTTTAACATCAATAAAGCATATGATATGATGTGGGGTGAAAGGATATATGACTTTTGCGATACGGGCTCTACAAGCATCTCTACAAGCAAATAACTTTAGTAATAGAAATGCGTTTACCCTGATTATTTTATTTAGTAGAAAATAGACTGTCCTATGTAATGAGGCAATGCTAGAACCCAAACTTTCTATTGAAATTAATTAATACCGTCTCGCCCAATATTGTTTTCTCGAATAGGTATTCTGCCATATCCAGCTCCTGATCATCCAGTATTTGTTTAATATTGCCCGCAGAAATGACGTTATTAGAATTATTGCTCAGGTCGATAAAGTAACATAAATGCCACCTAAACTAGCACTAATACCCCTAAAACATGCCCGCAAGGTGGTAATAATAGTAATTGATCCGAGAACTATCCACAAAATATTCATCTTTTTGAATTAATCATGAATTAAATCTGAACCACTTTAAGATATTCAAAAAATTCAGTGTGCCATGTTGATAGTATTCACATACCAGAGATGATCAAAATCGTTCCACAACTTTTCGAGTTATAGTAAAATACGTTAAAATGGCCGCCTTCTCCCACTCCACTACTTTTCGAGTTACAGCAAAAATT